TACGTTACGGTACGGTGTAGTAGGGTAGGAGGTAAGTACTACTATTAGTTTGTTCGTATAGGTCGTGGTAGTACGTTACTACTATATATATATATATATATATATATATATATATATATATACAACTTTGATAGATAAGAGTTACAAAAGCGAATTTGTCCGTGACTACAAACTTCTTCCAAACTACTCCTGCTGTACATATGAACAATACAGCTACGTTTGCTCTGAAAAAAAATTCACAATAGCTTGATGAGTTTGGCTATTAAGTAAGTGACCATCATTATCCTTAAAAATCGTAGTTGGAAAGTGTAAATATTTTCTAAAAGAATGCATAATATGAGGAAAAACATACATGGAGAACAATTTCAAATTCAGAAACACACAATTTAACATAATGCAGAAGATTTGAATGCATATTGAATCAGTATGAGAAAGTGCATATATAATTCCTTTAACATAAATGCTTAGTTTAACATGGTACAAAGGATTTCACGAAGTACGCTATTGGCGTCCTAAGTAGGTCATTTATATACTCCACCAGCGTCCTGGTTGGTCTAGTTAATCCCTATCGGTTTATCGGATAGGTCCACTCATATCTCACCGGTGTTCCGGATGAGTCCACTTAGAGACACGATTCATATCAAGATCAACCATAATCTAAATTTAATAGTTTAAAACTTTATTGCAATTAAGTATAAGATATGATCAGCGCGCTCACACATGCACACAATCCCAGCACGTTTTGGGGCTTTTGATATGCATTGGCCTTGGAAGACAACCATCTCATTTGTGCTTTTGGCGAGAGAGCATTACACTTCCAAAGGGGTTTCAATGAGTAGTGCCTCACATAAGGGGTGCAACCTCCCAAACACAGACACTTCTAACTCTCATCCTATCATAGAGAGCAATGATAAATCACATCTACTGGCACAATTATCTCATCAAATTATAACAGAAGCATGTATCCATGCGTACATATCTTATCAGAAGCATGTTACCATGCGTCGATCATTTAACAAAAGCATGTCGCCATGCACACATATCTTTCCAGAAGCATGTCTCACATGTAATCACAAGAAACGTCAACATGTCTATGTTATACATATAAGCACAAGGGACATCACGATGTCATATTCATTCATATAAATTCAAGAGACATTTTCATGTCAATAGTTTGCCATAAATCAATGTAACGGACATCACTAAATATCAGGAAACAATAATATCGTATGTTCGAAATATCCTTGAAATCATTAACATGAATTCACATGAAGCAATTTATAGCAATCACTTTTACTGACATTTTCATAAATAATTATTTTGGACTATAGTTTCAGAAAAGCAGTCTATTCTCAATAGAAGAATTCTTATGGAAATCCAGAGTCAAGTTTTCAACTATCTAAATTTTTTAACAATAGACAGAAATATCATAAATTTATTAAATACGGAAATACAAATTTTCAATTAATCACGTTACAAAAACACAAAACTTATAGCATAGAAACCCAAATTTTTAAACAATTGGTTTTTAGGAAAAGTAAGGCCACTTGCACATGACACTTACAATATCTAAAATTTATGCTAAAAATATTACAATTAAATACAGAAGCATGTAAAACTTACAATATTGAAAATGTTGCAATTAAATGCAGAAATATCTCTGGGAGTATTACAAAAATATCAGTATTTCAAAAAATTATTTTACAGGAAAAATGAAATAACTTACCTATATGTCACTCTGAGATGGATATGTTATTATCTTTGCCGGAGAAGAACTAGAATCAAGGGTGTTTAGCTAAAAGTATGAGAAGAGAGAGCAAATGAGTTTCTAAGGGAAAAAGAGCATAAAAATATGTTCATATAAGAGAGCGAAAAATATTATAGAATTATTTTAATGAGAACATGACGAGAGAGAAGAACTATTATAAGTTTCTTAAACAGTGCAAATAATATGCATACAAATAATATATAAATGAAAATTGATAATAAATTAATTAATGTAATAATGTAATGATGACACATATAGTAATACGTATGTAAAAACCATTCATAACATTATAATAAAATTAACAAATTAGTTAATTGAAATCTATAATACAAAATTAAGTGTATCATATATAATTGACTAAGTCATGTGTAATAATTTAAAATTGATACACATAATATTGTAATGCTAAAATTTATTATTTATTATTGTGAGAACATTATTAAAATAATAATATTATTATAAGAAAGTAATGAGGATATTATGAGTGAAGGAAAATACTATTTTTATAAGAATGTCATTATTGTGATCCGGCTCTGGTTGAAGCCTCTATCTTCGATCCGGATCACAGAGGGACCAGCGTGTAGCACTGTGTGGCCTGCTACTTTTGCTTGCTTTAGATCACAGACTCTCGGTGTTAAGGGGCAATATTATAAGCCCATTTTTTGTAATCTCATTGTATATCTTGTAC